AACTGAACAAAAATACTCAAATCATGTCGCTGGCAAAAGTTGTTTTGTTTACCTTACTTAGATACTCAAGTATTTGTTCACAACATATCCAAATGTTCTCCCAACTTTTCAAATTGAGTCATCTGAACAAACAATTTTACACTGAACAATATTGCACAAGTTAATTTCATTTATGCTTAATTTATGCAACTTAATTTATGCTTCTGCTGCTGTCACTGTCAGTTAGCTGTCATGTGGATCAGAGTACATATTTTTACTGATTTAAAATGTGTTCATCCTCACCATGGTTGAGAATGGTGTGCTGAGGTACTGTATATGTGCATCTCGTTGCAATTTGTATAATACATTTGTCTATCAGCATAAATGTTTGCCTTTAGTTTTAAAGGGTTAGTTCACCCAAAAATGAAAATTTTATCATTAATTACTCACCCTCGTGTTGTTCTAAACCCGCAAGATCTTCGTTCATCTTCGGAACACAAATTAAGATATTTTTGATGAAATCTGAGGGCTCTCTGACCCTCCCATAGACAACAAGGTAACTACCACGTTAAAGGTCCAGAAAAGTACCAAGAAAAGCCGCCACACGCTCGCGTCATGATACTGTCGTGAACACGCGTCCACAAGTGACGCAGTAGAGACGAAAATGTGGAATAAAGTCGTTATTTTTGTTTTCTTTGCGCAAAAAAGTATTCTCGTAGCTTCGTAACTTTACAGCTGAACCACTGATGTCACACGGACTACTTTGTCGATCATCTTGGTACTTTTCTGGACCTTGAACGTGGTAGTTACCTTGCTGTCTATGGGAGGGTCAGAGATAGAGGTCGACCGATATATCGCCAAGGCCGATAAGTTTTTCTGTTTGGTCGATGTGTTCGAGGCGGGACTTTTATTTTGACGGTGTTGAGAACGGCTGCGCCTGAGCACACAGTGCTCACATTCTCCCTCTTGTTCGGAGTCGTGGTTAACAGTTCTGTCTAATACGGATAGAAGTCTGTCTAATAATCAGATAGAACGGTTAAACAAAGGAATTAAAATGTATACAAAGTATTATATTATTAGTAATAGAAAGGCAATTATAATACTTTCTCGTTTGCCATCAGCATTCAGCAAATACACATTTATATAATTTAAACTAATCTTTGAATGAATAATGAACATTTAATTTCACAAACCTTGCAGACTTAGTCGAATCCAGCTGTGAGATCATGTGAAGTGTGCATTTGTATCCTGCACGATCGCGTGTTCTCTGCGTGCCGGTCGGTCCGTGTGAATTGAATGCGGACAGGAGGAGAGTTCAGCTTCACTGGAGATGCGCGATCATAAACTCGTGATTTCAAATTATGCTGCGCTTTATGCATTTGCCCACTGTCATATTAATGTAATTTTCACTGTGTGCTGTATGTAAAATGAGTGTTACCTTGGCTTTATTTGAAAAAATATGATTCCCAATGCACACAAACTTCCCAGAATACTGAGTGCCCTGTTGGTTACAGTGTTTACTTACTTTTTAATTATATTTTGATTAAATATTTATTTATTTGTGAAAAATACTTTGTCATCTAAAGTATAAGTATGTTTATTTTACACATTTATTTTTTAATCCATTTTCAAATGGATTCGGCTGTCAAAAAACACATATCGGTTGACCACTAGTCAGAGAGCTCTCAGATTTCATCAAAAATATCTTAATCTGTGTTCCGAAGATGAACGAAGGTCTTATGGGTTTCGAATAACACGAGGGTGAGTAATTAATGATAGAATTTTCATTTTTGGGTGAACTAACCCTTTAAGAGAAAAATACTACCCATATCATGTAGCAGGCTTTGAAAATAAACAAATCTAAAATAAAGATTAGCATTGTTAAATGCTAAAAAAAAAAATCTTTGGTTTTTCTGACAGATCTTTTAACTCAGTAGACTGACTTTTATTCATTAGATGAACTAAAGTTTTTCAGTTGTCGGTTGATAGTTAAGTTAACTTAAGTTGAGGGCGATAGGTTGCCTTATTTTTTTTTTTATTTGTTTACAGTGTGGCAGATTTCACGTTAACCCCCCCCAAATAATTTTTATCTCACGTCTCTTTCAATTATTATTACAATCTCAATTATTATTCATTCAGTGAGTGTTGGACCATTACAGTATCATAAATTCATACTCCAACCACAAAAAAGGTGGAAATGATCCTCATGATACACTGAAATATAAAAGCTCTAAAAACTGAAACACATTAAGGCATACAGTATTATTGCTTAAATATATCATACACCTGCTATCTATAGCTAGTAGCCTCAGTGGGTTAAAAAAAAAACTAGCTTGGCCAACACTGCCCAAGTAATTTTTCAATTTGGCCCATTTGTTGGTGAACAGCCCTGCACTAGAGCATCTGGACTCGTGTCACTAATCAGATGGCTTTGCTGGTGCGGCGTTGTTTCACTTGCAGTATTTTGGGAAACTGGGTTAGAAACCCTTGTATAAAACACGTGCAGAGATGCCGCACGATCAGCCCTGTTGCATCTACGGCAACACGGTATCAGTTGTTTAAAACTGTTCCAAGTTGTATCTTCTAGGGACACATTTCAGATAGAATAGAGACTTATTTTCAGCAACATACAGTGTCTCCGTGTCTGAAGAGACTAAAGTCCAAACGGGGCTGATCCTGGATCATGTTAGTGCTCGGTGGCAGTTAACGTTAAACTCAGCACTTCAGAGTGCTAAACAGCGGTTAACACTAAATAAAAACAACAACCAAACCATACATCACATGTAACTACCCCGTTTAATCGAATAGTCTGATTTTACAACCATTACATATGCACTAACGTTAGCTGGTGAGGACGGTTATCAGACTTTTGCACATCCACGCTTCAAGCAGTAACTGTTAATGGGGAAAGAGGCGATAATGACACCGTTACCTTCCTCCACGTCTGTTCTCGACAAAACAGCTCTATTTTTAAGTTTTATGGACTGAGCGTCCCGTTATGTCTCATTCGGTCATTTTTCTCGCGCTAGCCTGCTGTTAGCTCGCGTTCAGCACGGAGCGCTCTCGCAAGAACTGATGAACTTGGCGACTTCATGAAATACATTCAAACACCAGGACTTAAAAACGAAAAGATATCACACCACTCACCGTTCAAGAAGATGAAAATGCGCTGGATAGGAGCTGAACGCAGCCGGAGAGACTTGTACGACGTGTTGTGGTCACTGGAGAGCGCGAGCGAGTGGCGGAGGAGGAGCTCACGAGAGCTGACGTTCAGACATTCAGCGCGCGCAGCCTCTGGACAGGTGACGTTATGACTTACAAGAAACATAATAACTTCACATTTTTAGTAATAGGCTACAGTGGCTAGATGTAATTACATTTAACCGTGTATTTAAGCGTTTATTTAACCCTCTGGTGCTCCTCATTTGTGAGTGACACTTGTGATCTTCATGCCCCCCCCCCTTTATTTTGAAATAATTTCGTGGTACTAATTAATATTTATGCAATAATTATGATACATTTCTTCCCATTGAAAGTAATACAAAAAATAAAAAATATTACTTTTCAATTAATTCAGTTTTTCATGTGAAAATAGAGTCAATGCCTTTAAAATCCCATTTTTGAAGCAAGATTAGTGCCATCTGGTGGGAGTAAAATAAGAAAAACATCTGCAATTCCTTGGTTTAGCAGCCCATAGATTCCTATATAGCTCTATATAAAAGGCCTATAAATTCTCTAATTGTTTTTAGACATAAATACTTATTTTTATTAAGTTGTGGGTTTAGATATATATATTTAGACATTCTCAAAGACAGTTTTTGTAAAGGTTTAGATAGATTTTTTTTTTTTTGCTTTGAAATGTTGATTTGAAGTGTCAGTTTTTAAATTATTATTACTAGAGACAAACCTGAACACAGAGAAAGTATTTTGTTACACAAAACATTAAAATTCTATAAAAATGTAACAAAAATGAACAGGAATGTTTTATCAGAGCTTAATACTTCTGGGTCTGATCTAATTTCAGTTTTCCGACTCGTTTTGTATGGTTATAGCCATACCAATTCCTTTGAGTGTGTATAATTGTCTATGTGTGTGTGTGTGTGTGTGTGTGTGTGTCTGTTTTGCACTCTTGATGTTTTAAAGTGTAACCCCTTCCTTGCTGTCCACTTTTTTACTGCATTGTAGTTGAATTATTGCTTTTATTTTACATATTTGCTGTGTTACAGTCACACCAGTTCATAGGTGTGTGTGTACGGGTGTGTGTGTGAGTAATGTGTTGGTTTTGCACTCTTGATGTTTTAGTGTTTCACCCCATTATTGCTGTGTACTTTTTTTCTGCATTGTGGCAGATTTGTAGATTGTACACACAAAAATTCTCAGATTTTTTTGTTTTTGTCGATTTCCCATTCATTTCCTACGGTTGGTCATTTTTGACCGAAGACCAAGGGTGACTATTTTTTTTTTACGACCACTTAGCCTGCTGGAATCATGCCCTCTTTATGTATGTGTGTTCACATTCCAAATGCCATAAAAGTCCCCAAGTTTCATACCATTCTGATGAAGCTGTGATTTTTAAAAATTCAAAACAGAACATTTTTCTGTCAGTGACTGAAGAGAACCAGAGGGTTAAAGAAAAAGCAAAAACATTTGATTTATGATTATTCTCTTAGGAAAATTAACCATGGTTTTATTGTAGTAAAAGTGTGGTAACCATGTTTTTTGGCATATTGATTACCATTTGTATAACCAGTTTTACTACAAAAAAAAAAAAAAAGGTGTCGTATAACCATGGTTAATTTGTGGTTACCGTAGTTTAACTATAGTAACCATGTTTTTTTTTTTAATTTGTAGTAAAACCATGGTTAATTTTCATAAGGGATTGTTGTAGATTTATATGATTTAAAATAATTAACGATCACTTAAACATTATTTAACTGTTAACTATAATTCTGTTAGTCCACGACCTTGCAATAAAGCATAAAAAAAAAAAATAGGAATAAGCAGAGTAAAAACAAACAACATGGAGTTTAAATGTTTGCATTTATTTTCTTGCAGTTGGATTATGTGTATATTTTTCAAAACCTATTATAGATTCCCAGGGACCCCAACGTAAAAAGATGCCAATGATGGAAAAAATAAACGTAAAAATAAAAGGACTGCAATACTTGTAAATCATAACTAGATTTTCAATGCCTGGAAAGGAACAGGGCAGATGTAAAAATATAATACACAATACTGAGAAACAATCAATGGACCGTCAGTTGCTCACTAGCTGTACAGAGAAAGTTAACAACAAAACTCAAGCCCTCCAAATACCTGTCGGCAGGATTTTATAAATCCACAAATTTATAACAAATGTAGTTTGCGTATTTGAGGGTGAACGACACTCAAGATTGGCCTGAAATAATATATCGGGCACAGTTTGATTTTTTTTTTTAAACAGCAATAGTCTAGAGAGAAAAAAAAAATACACCACAGGGTGAGAACACTAAAAAGACCCCAGCTTTTCTCTCGTTCTCTTTCTGACCATACAATACTCAGACTGTATAAAATAAAAACCAACAGACAGATGTAAAAAGGTGGCAGAATCAATAACTTAAATTCACAATTACAATAACTTAAAGGCATCAAATGTCTTAATCAAAATCAACCTTGTAGACTTGAAAGCAACAGAAAAATTAACAAAACAGTATCAGAAACAGTGAAACTTTGGGGAAAAAAAAAAAAATATATATATATATATACATACAAAGATTCAGTATGATTACAATAACTTAAAGGCATCAAATGTCTTAATCAAAATCAACCTTGTAGACTTGAAAGCAACAGAAAAATTAACAAAACAGTATCAGAAACAGTGAAACTTTGGGAAAAAAAAAAAAAAATATATATATATATACATACAAAGATTCAGTATGCAGGGGAAAAACATTCTGTGCTTGTTTTTTGTACCAGTGGAAACAAAGTTCACTGATTTGAAATGAAAGCAACATCAATTGTCAAAATTAGAGGGTTATAGGCAGAAAGCCCACAACTACAGTATTCACAACAGATCAAAGTTTACAGAAAGTCTTTACTGTAAATGCAAGTTTAGATCAAAAATAAAAAAAGAACATGAATTTAAGCAATTGTTTGGGTTATTTACAAGATTACATGACTTCTTAGTACAAATATAGAAGTAAAATGCACATATTTTTCAGATTAAAATATATTTTTTCATATTATTATACTCCTATTTAACATTTTTTCTTTAACTACAGCAAAATACCATTCGGGTCCTTAAGCTCTCCACCCAGAGCAAAGACGTGCCAAGAGAGTCCACAATGATCACTTATTAAACACTTATGAATTAACATAAAACAATTATTTAGCATGTGAATAATACAGTGAAAATTACATGGAAAAAAACAATAACAAAATACCTCCTAAGTCTATGATAGACATAGCTAAGTGCTACAATGAAGCATTATATTCCACACAAAAAAAAAAAAACCTGTTGTTTGCATCAGGTATCGTTAGCCTCAATTTCCATCAGTCTTTTCTAACCGGTGACTACTGTTAAACTGCTGACTAGACCCATCAATCCAACACGCATGTGCCACAGAAACCGTCACACTGACATTAGCTTGAATCATATAGGGGTTTCCTCTCAAAACACATGTAAGTATTTCAGCAGTTTTAAGGAACTGTGTGCATTCATTTGAGTGTGAACTGTTTGCATGTTCTCTGATGCCCTCAAGAGGATGAGGAGCAGAGTGCGATCTGCTGGACTGTTCCCAGGTCAGTCAGGAGCTGTCTCATGCGATGTTTCAGTTGAGGGAGGCGCGCAAGAGGATCTGGAGGTTCCAGTTCACCTGTGTAGTCTAGCCAACTCTCCAGCACTGCATAATGATATCGACATGTTATTACACATATCAAGTAAATCAATCTGAAATTGTTATGTTTGCGGTTTATTGATTTTTAAACCAGGAAATCTGTTTGTAAGAGTCTCACCGTCTAGTTCTTGCTCGATAAGGTCCATTCTGTGCGTCACCTCGTCCTGCACTGCTTCAATGTGCTCCAGCAGGTTCAGCTGCCACTGCTGGTGCAGCACAAGGTCAGGGTCAGGCTTTGGGTCAGGGGTCACAGGGTCAGGCTCCTCTTCCTTGATTTCTACCACACAACTCTTTTCCTGCTCTGCGGAAACCAGTCGTTTCATACGGCACTCCAGCTCCTGACAACAGAAACCAATGAGACGCATGTTTGGTGTGTACTGATGTTCTCATGTTATTGATGATGAATGAATGAATGAAGCATGATAGTAATTCAATAATCTAAATGTGTCGTCAATGAGACATTTGTTTGCAGTCCAAAACAAATTAGTTCAGTTTTTTATAGGCACAGCAAAACAATGCATGAAATATGGTGATCTTCTGTGTGGAAATGTGCATGTTGCAACTATTTGCTGACAATATAGGCCTGTTTACACCTGGTTATTTTATGCACTTTCTCTGATCGGATAGCTATCCGATTGTGAAAATACCAGGTGTAAATATCCTCCAAAACACTTTCGAGATGGATTTAAATCCGATCACTCAAACCACTTCAGGAGGACGCATTCCAGACGAAAACTGGACAAGTGTAAATGCATCTGGTTATTGAAACCACTCCTCCCAAAATATAAAAATAATAAATGTGTGAGAGCGTTTTATAGGCTATATGACATGTTATAGTCAGATATGACCGTGCTAATGCAACACTCATCCCCACGGATGGGTATCTGAGTATCTCTTCAGCAAGCGGACACACAAACTAATGCAAATGAAACTGAAAGTAAGCCGCAGACACAGAACACAATTATTTTCATTAAAAGTATTAAGCCTGACATTTTTAAAGTCCTGATGCCACTCTCGCTCCTGTTGCGGTTTTTGATCTTGAAATTAGCTGATGATAAATAAAATGCAGCACATATCTATTGCTTTCGTTGACGTGAACACCGTTAAATTTGCACATAGCACAGGAACTGAAGATCGGCTTTATATCCGTTTTTGTGAAGAAGCATTTATGTGGCCAAGTGTAAATTGAACCGTTTTAACAAATCAGATAGCTATCTGATCACAAACGCATGTAGTGACCAGATGTAAACAGGCCCTATGACAGATTTTGAACTGGTTTGAAAACAGACTTTGAGCTGATTGACAACAGACAACAAATTGGTTTAAAACATTTTTTTTTAACATTTTGAAAAAGACCTTGAACTGCTCTTGACGAGATATCAAACTGATTTAAAAAACAATCTCTAACTGTTATGAAAACAGATTATCAAATGGTATGAAAACATTTCAAACCATTTTTAAAATCAGACTTTGAATTGTTTTGGTGACAGACATCAAGCTGGCTTGAAGACAGAAAAATCAACCGTTTTGAAAACAGACTTTGAACTGGTTAAAACGAGACATCAAATTGATTTGAAAATAGAACTCAAACTGTTTTGAAAAGAATTCAAAACAAGACTAAATTGGTTTTAAAACTGTCCTCAAACTGCTTTGAAAATAGATTATTAACTGGTATGAAAACAGATTTCAAACATATTAAAATCAAACTTTGAATTGATCTGAAACAAGTTCTCCAAATGATTTGAAAACATTTTAATTCTGACAATGTTGCAACATGAATTCTCAGATTGACTGTGTACAGTGTGCACTAACAAAACATAACTGTGAGTCTTTAAATGTACACTGGCCAACAAGCTTCTTTCTTGTAGTGTGCATTTGGCAGAAAAGCTAACAAGTTGCTTGTAACTTACCTTACTAAAGGAGCGGTCAGCTAGCTGAAGCTTGTGCTGTTCGTGGTCCAGCTGTGTGCCGTACCTCTGCTCGGCCATCTCTAGTAGGTCTTCGGTGCTCCTAAGACTGTCCTCCAGCTCAGAACCGCACCGTGTCTCCACCACAAGTCTTCTCTCCATCGCCGGGTAGTACGTACAGGGCTTCTGGTAGCAGTGCTCACTGCTAATGTACGAGTCCTGGAAAGAGCAATGAGTCTCCACAGGCGATGGGACTTCGCTCTTCAATGTCTCAAACTCATTTGCTCCCATTTCAGGGGGTGAGGAGGGGAAGGGAGTTGCAATGCCCGAGTCACCTGCAGTCTTCCTCCGTAGGCCGTCTGCAGACTTCCAGGGCTGCCGCCAGAACTTCAGGTCTGGATGGGCTTGTGTCCTAAAAAGGGCAGCTTTGATTCATACCTCAATCTTTCACTTTATTAATCAAACAGCTGGTCGCATCGAGAGTATACAAGCAGGGGAATTACTTACTGTAAGATGCTCATCTTCAGCTGAAGGCCATTCAGGACCTCAAACACACGGTGGACGTCCCCCAGGAGCTGATGGGCAGTTGCCACTTTCTTACTGTTCTGGTGGGAGTAGTTCTCCTCCAGGAAAGACAAGCCATACATGTGACCGCTGCTCAGCCAGTCTTTATCATACCAGTACCTTTGACTCTGCCTCTGGGCTGCATACAGAAACATGCATATTTAAAGATTAACTCAAAGCCAGACAACAAAATGTATTGAAGTGGTTGTTATATTTTGATCCTTGTTCTTTTTTGCCAACACACACAGACCAGACAGATGAATAACAAAGCTACTATATGCTAAACTGAGATGGTTTGGGGAAGTTCTGGTGTCTCACCTGGTGGGTCTCTGCAGATGTAGCAGCTGTAGCTGTCTGGAACACTGTCCTCATACAGTCCCATACACGTCCCATGCTGCCAGCACAAACACTCGTCACACTGCAGAGAGCACAGGACACATCCTTCAGTCTCCCAGACAATTACTGAACTTGTATCACCAAAACACCAAATCAAATTTTTTCAAATTTTATTTCAATTAATGCAGTATTTCAGATTAAAATAGAGACTAGGCCTTTAAAATCCAATTTTTGAAGGCAGAATAGCACCTCCTGGTGAGTGCAAAAAAACACAACAACAACCTGTAATTTCATGATTCAACCACTAGATTCCTGTTTAGGACTCTATAGAGAGGCTTGCGAATTCCCTAGTTGTTTTTATACATAATTGTTTACTTTTATTAGGTTGTGGATTTAAATGTATATTACGGCAATCTCAAAGCCTACTTTTTGTCAAGGTTAATATTTTTTTGTTGTTTTAATTGTTGATTTGAAGTGTACGTTTTTGCATTATTATTACTACATTCAAACCTGAACACAAAGCATTTTGTTACACAAAACATTAAAATTATATAAAAATATAACAAAAATTAACAGGAATGCTTTATCAGAGCTGAATCCTTCTGGGTCTAATCTGATTTTAACCTCTTATTTCAGTCTTCTGACTCATTTTGGCTATATGGTTATAGCCATTCCAATTCACTTGAGTGTGTATAATTGTGTGTGTGTGTCTGTGAGTGAGTGTGAGTGGATGTATCTGTTTTACACTCTTGATGTTTTACAATGTAACCCCTTCCTTGCTGTCCACTTTTTTACTGCATAGTAGTTGAATTATTGATTTTATATTACATAGTTGCAGTGTTACAGTTACACCAGTTCATAGGTGTGTGTGTGTGTGTGTGTGTCCGTGCGTGTGTTGATTTTGTGTGTTGATTTTGCACTCTAGATGTTTTAGAGTTTCACCTCTTCATTGCCGTGCAATTTTTTTCTGCATTGTGGGGGATTTGTAGATTGTACACTATATATATATATATATATATATACACATATATATATAAAAATGAAAATAAAATATATGTGAAAGTTCTAATGTCTGTTTTATATGCAATACAATCGAGTTTCGGGTCAAAACAGACTTTTTCATTTGAGTTTGGTTTGTCAACAAATGTATCAAATGGAGGTCTGGTCCGATTTCAGAAGGCAGTAGTTCACCTGTATCATGAAGTCGTTCTCCTCCTGCACTTCACAAATACAGCGTACGATCTCAGAGCCGTGAGTGACCGTTTCCACACCCTGCTCTGAGAGGGGCATGTTCAGATCCAGCTCAGCGTCAGACTCATCCTCACTCCATACAGGACTGTCTGAAGACAAATCACTGCTGCTGTCTTCACCTGGAGGAAACAAGACGACCACAATATACACTAAGGCAGCAGATTTGATTTGTTTTTATAACACAGTCATCCATGCAAGACAATCAGCTACTCTAATCACACATGCACACACGTTACCACTTAGCTTTTTCAAATCATGCCCTCAATTTTTTTTGTGTTCACATACCAAGTGCAATAAAAGTCACCAAGTTTCGTACCATTCTGGTAAAGCTATTAATTAAAAAAATTCAAAACGTAAAATTCTCCAGTCAAAAGTGACCGAAGACCGCACAAGGGTTAACAATATTCTTACTAACTTTCTGGGCCTTGAACGTGTCAGTTGTGTTGCTGTATA